GGGCTGGGGGGTACCAGGTGGTCGACCGCCCAATGGCTCTCGACGGTGGGGAGCGGGCGCAGCCGGCCTGGGATCTGCGTGCGTAATGGCTTGATGAAGTGAAACTTGTGCCGCCCCCAGCCGGAATGGAAACAAATGGTCGCTCATTGTTTTTTTCCAAGTGTCCGTCTTTCCACTTCGAGTCGAGGCGAGGAAAGGGCGTACGTTGCGGCAGCCTTTTTGCTCGCTTTTTGCCGTATGCATACTTAAATCACATACTCGCAGACATAATGGAAGAAGATGTTTGTCTTTCTAACCTGGCTTATCCACCCGTTGTGACCCACCACCATGCCACGCAATCTCGCACCCAATTATTCCCACAATAACGAAGAAAATGGATGAGCTAAATGAAACAACATTTACTGAATTGCCTCACCCTCATGTACAGTACATGCCTCAAAGTTAGTCTTGTCTCATTCTAATTACTACATCGACAACGGAGCGAGTAAACTTATACGTTCAACTCGTTCTCAAGAGGCACTAACTGTTTGCAGCGTGCCGCGACTTCACCAACGAGATCAACCCCAGCATCAACGTCTACATCTACGGCGGATCAGTCGCTCAGCCGGGGGAGTTCCCCCACATGGTGGGTAGGCCGGCCCCGACCGTCTCCGCGGCCTCGTGGGACTTCGCCGAGCCGTTCGACGACGGCCTCCCGGAGGGCCCTCTGTTCCGCGAGCTGGTGCACCGGGGGCCGCCACTTTCGCGCCAGCCGCCCCCCGGCGCGCCACCCCCGATGCCCCTCGGCGCCGACCTGGACGACCCGGACGCAACCACGCCCTCAGACGGACTGACGGACCGCGCAGCACTCCAGAAAGGCGACGATGGGGACCCGGGGAACGTGGAGGTCGGGGGCCGGACGGGCTTCATCGTCGGGGGAATCCGGGGCGCCATCAAACGCCACCGTGAGAGGGTGGAGAGGGTCAAAGACGGGCTGCGGGACCTCCAGGAGCATCTGGTGCCGCCTTTCCTCCGACCAGGCCGCCGACCGGGCCCGGAACAGGGACCTGACGGCGGGTCCACGCGCCCCCACCAGGACGACTCCGAACGGCTTGACCACGCCGGGGCCGACAACAGACCTTACAACCCACAGAACTACCCCGAACACGACAATAGACCTCACAACCAGCCACACCGCCCGGACCGCCCCCGTGGCCCCGACCAGAACGTACCCCCACAGAACCAACCCTTGAACGACTACCGCCCCCCTCGCCGACCCGACACTGTCCCCAGACCACCCCCGTCGACCGCACCACCCGCGCAGGACGTCCCCGACGATGACGCGTACGGCTCGCTCATCGACCCCCGCGCCGGGACCGGCGGCAAGTCGTCGTTCGGCGCCGAGTTCGGGGCGCTCGAGGAGGAGACGACCTCCCGACCCAGGCTCATCCGGGTGACGGGCCCGTCGGTCGGCGAGGGCAAGGCCGGCCGCCCGGGCAACTGGCGCGTCCCGCCGGACAGCGTCTGGGCGCGGCCGACAGAAGGGCCTCCAGGGGCGCCTCCAGGGGCGCCTCCAGGAGGGTCTCTGGCTGCGGACGCGCCGGCGGGGAGCCAGGCCGAGCAGGAGGGCAAGGCGGGGGGCATAGCATTGTACGTGATCGGCGGGGACGAGGCGCTGTCGGATGAGTTCAAGCACATGGTACGTACGGCGCTCCGAGGCTGGCATGAGGAGAGCTTAGCAGCATGGCTCTGCGCTGCTCTGCACTGCTCTGCGCCGCCACCCGGACCCGCACCGACTCGCACCGCCGCACACCTCAAGTATGGATGCGCACTGAATGGCTTGTATTACCACCACAGAGTGAGAAACATATATTTTGATTCGATGGCAAATCGATACCGGAACGATGTCAGATACCAAACATGTGTATAAGACAATCAATAATCCAGATACTAAGAGAGTCTCGGTAAAGCTCAATGGACTCTACTAAACTCTCTTGCAGATACGTTTATCGTTATGACATCGTTTCGATGTCCACAACTTCTCACTAGGATTGCGCGGCTTCACAGGGTAGTATTTACGGTTGCACAACGGTGGTGGTTTCGAGGAAAAGAAAATAGGGTGCTTTATTGGAATTATGGTTTCGGAATAACTGCAAATATTGTCACTGCTTCGCATTCGCACCGCGGACGAATCGGGCTGCGGTGCACCAAACTGCAATGCATGATGGCAAACAATAACGCTCCAACAAAGCGAGGGTGGAAACTCGCAAACGCGCGCAAACATTACAACCACTTCACAGGCTGCGGGTAAATGTTGTTTTAGAGGGCAAGAGGGGCAAAGGAAACGAATGCACGTGGGCTATAAACAAGCTAGCAGGGAAAGGGCTCGCGAATTCCCAGCCATGCCAAATACAGGTAAATCAAAAAAAAAAATTAAAAAATCCCAGAGTTCCACTCGGTTCCACAACACGGTCGTTGTCGGTCTTTACCTGTTCGACATTATTAGACTGTCCAGCGAACACTTGCCTCATGACGAACGGTTTAATAGATAAGTTGCACGCTTTCAAGCGTTCAAATTGCAGTCTGCATTCTTACAAGTGCCCACAACAGACTATATGGGCCAGTGATGCCTCAGCAGCGCACGTGAGCACGTTGGGCTGCCTAACACTGCGGCGTGGATGACCAGGCACCGCCCAGGCAACAACTGTGGGAAATAGCCTTGTTAAATAATAACAACATAATTTCTAAGTAATGATAACGATTTACAAACAACGTTGGAAATTTACGATCTGCCTCTAATCGTAAATTTAGGCCACACCAATTTTGCTCGCCGAGGAATTCGAAGGCAATGCGTAGTGTAAAGGCGTTCAGAATCTCTTTGTAAATTTACAATGTGAGTGAGTCTACAACAATTCTCATAGAAAATTTTACCGTTAAAGATCCAAAAATATTTTTTACAATGCTAGAGAACGGGGTCACACCTGCTGACGGGACGGAGACCCGCATCAGTAAATGGATCGCATGCCTTGTCGTACGCCGCGCCCCCAGCCGCTTCTGCCAAATTGAAGAATTAATCTGAAGCGGGAGAAGTAGAGGGTTTGGTGCCAAGAAAGGGGTTGAGCGAAATAAAGGAGAAAGGGGTGAGGGGTTCCCTCACAGGGGCCCCTGCCAGCGGGCGTGACGGAACAGAATGGCGGAGTAAAAGGGGGAGGGGAATAGGGGAGCATGCTGGAGGGTCGCCTCTGGGGAGACATTGTCACATTTAACATGTCATCGCACTCCGCTTTGGCTTCTTCTGAGGTGATCTGCAGCTGGCATGCGAATCGATTAACCCCACCTATGACTTGTGCTCTCCCGCAAGCCCCAGGCGCTGCTCACCGACAAGCCCCCTCCTGCCGCAGGTGGCGCTGGGCTTCCGCGACGGCAACGGCGCCATGACGTGGGACTGCGGCGGCACGCTCATCTCCAACGACCACGTGCTCACGGCCGCGCACTGCGTCACCAACTCCTTCAGGTGAGGCGAGAGTGAGCGAGAGTGAGCGAGAGTGAGCGAGAGTGAGCGTGACCAGGGCGACCCGAAGCCTCATCATCACCACCACGGTATATGCGACGGGCGGCATCACGTCGCGGTCCGCACACATTGGGGGGAAAGGGGGGGGGGGGCGGCACTCGCCCGCAATCACAAAACAAACACTCTCAAAAATGTATCCACTCCAGACCCATAAATTTAAGACGATGTTCTTCTTTCTTTAAACCCTATTTACTTGTTATACGTGAGAAATAGGGGTTGAAATAAGAAAATTTGTGTTAAAATTGTGGGGATGTTCTTCAATTGAACCACTCGAGTAACGGTATTCTTTCTGAGGGTGCGGTCATATCCTACCCCAGTGAACAATTAAGTTGAAACAGTCAAATCATGTATAGTTCGTAAGACCGACTAAACTTTAATGACCTCGTTTTTCTCACAGTTTTGTCAAACCAATCAGAATCGTCTTTAGTAAAATGTCATCAGCCCAAATAGAATTTGGTTGACAGAGCTATAATTTTAGCTGATTCGAATTTACTTCCCTAAACTTTTCTCACTGTAAAAAAATCCACAGCATTCACTGTAAATTGCTTACGAACTATGGGTTCGTAATGCAAACCAAAACGTTCGTAG